CGCCGGCCCCCTCCCGCCCCGCCGCCTTCCCTGGCCTCGCCTCTCTCCTCCCCGGTTCCGAGGGACTCCGGGAAGGCCGCCTCCCTCCCGCGGGGAGCGAGGCGACCCCGGTCGCAGAAGTCCCCGCAGCCGGCCGCGCCCCCCGCGCCCCGCGGCCTGCGCGGGCTTCATTGTGGCTCGCGCCGCTCTGGGGCTCAGGCGCGCGCGTCCACACTCGCGGTCCAGATTTAAGGTGGTCGCGAGCAGCTGCGAGCGCGGGGCGGGGGGAGAAGGACCCTCTCCTTGGCTCCCTCCGGCCCCTTCCGTCAGCTCCGGCTGCCCCTCTCCTTCCTCCCTCCGGCCTTGCGGCCCGAATCGGGCTGGGAAGCGAGCGGCCTGGAGGGGGCTCGCCTCCCCGCCCACCCTCCCCTGTACTCGCGCCCCACCGCCGCTGCTCCGTCAGCTGTGGTGCGCTCCTAGCCCGAAAGGTAGGACTTGGATGTTTTAATAGGGCAATAAAAAGGATGTTGACCTATATTTGCCAGGAAGTCCATTTCTAGCTCAGTTATACGTGCCTGGAGTTTCAGAAAGTCTGCCGTTGGCGGGGAGACTGGCAGCCAGAACTCTCAGGCAGAGGTGGGGAGGGACGGGGGGTGCGTGTTTGGCTTTGGCTTTCCGTTCTAGCCCCCTCCCGCTAATACCTAGTCGCTCCTCATTCCTGTGCCTGCAGGTTGACCGGAGTGATGCAATGCCAGGAAGTTCTAAGTCCCTCCCCTCAAGGACCGCGGGCTCGGGAGAATGGCAACGCATCCTTAAAGAAATATCAATACGTTCACACTCTGATGGGCACCACTGCCCGGGGTGCAGTGGAGCTGTGCGAGGCACTCAGGGACCAGGCAGCGCCTCGGGAGCCCCTGCCTTTTGTCAGCGCTGCCTCCTGGCTTTTCCCACTGAGCGTCTTTGGTGGGGGGCGGCGGGGTGGGGGTGGTCGTGGGAAAGAAAAGCACAGTGGAGAGGGGAACGTGCAAGCTCCCCTGTCTCATGCCCAAGGCTTGCGTTTGTACAGTGACCTGGAAGCCACTTTATGTTTATGGGGGGATTTCTGCCCCCCTCCCACCCTTTCCATTCCCAACTCGGGAGGGGCAGATGCCCCCAGAGTGAAGGTCTCCCCAAGTTGCAAGCCAGAGCTGGGGCAGGATGGGAAGGCCATCCCAGCAGGACAGAGCACATCAGGGCCATGGGTGGACCACACCTGCCATCCTGACCCCCCACCCCCACCCGAAACTTCTCCGGCTGGACCCCTCACCTCCAGTCCCCTTGGAGAAGAGGAAGGGATGGTAGGCAGGCAGGTGGGTGGGGAGGGAGAGGGTGAAGTCGCCTTGCTATCTGCCTGAAGAGCAAACAGACTCAGTCTGGAGTGGCTGGTTACACACACAGCCCCCGTGAAAGCAGCACATTCCACGCCGCGGCGCTGGGTTTCTACCTGAGTCATCAGCCGGTCTGCTCCCGTGTTTTCTTCATCCTTAAATATGATGTCGGGGTTGTAATTGGGGGTGAGTTCCTTAAATCGCTCGGAGTTTCTTGAGATCTTCCCTTCGTATCGTCCACTGGCCCCTAGGGTCTTCTCAGCCACGTTGGGGATAAACTGCTTGTAGGCTAAAGGGGTCAGCTTTTTGGGGTGTCGCCTCTTCCCAAATCCCCTGCCTGGTCCGCACGCCAGCCCCGAGCACATCAGCAGTGCAGAGACGAGCACCACCAGCACACATCTCGCCAGCAGCCGCATCTCGTCCGCGGAGCCCAGTGCCTTCCACGCTGTCCCCGTGCGGGTCTGTGTGCGCGAGTGCGAGTGTGTGTGCCTTTGCGCTCGGGCTTGCGCTCTCCCTTCCTCGCTCGGCTTGCTGCTGGCTCCCTCGCTCTCTGCCTGGCTCTTTCTCTTCCTATATAACCTCGCCCGCTGCTGCAGCGGGAGACTGGCCCCCGATCCCCACCCAGACGGGGGCTGGAACGGCAGGCTGCTGGTCGCTGATAACGGAACACATCGGAGTTGGGGCTGGAGACAGCAATCAAAAGACAAAAAGAGTCTGATTTTAAATGGTAGCAAGCCTGGAGAGCTTGCGAGACAGGCTGCCCTCGGTGCTATATTATAGCTGGCAGGGGCGTATCTGATTGGCCAAAGCAGCGCAAGCTTGTCTTCTGATGTTTAACCCTAAAAAAGACTAAATTTTTTTTTCCGTTGCTGCAGTTGCTTTATTTTCACCTGAAGCCTTTGAGTTAAAAAAAAAAAAAATCTTTCCGGAGACAAAGGTGGGCGGGAGGGAGGAGGCACGCTCCTTAGGATAACACCAGTTACCCCTGCTTTGTGCAGAGTGCGGTGTTCCCCCTTCCCTTTCTCCGGAATGGTAGGTGCTTCAGTTAAAACCAACTTAAGTTTTAAAGGACAGTCTAGACCCCCCCCCCCCTCCCCGCCAAGCTTCGGTCATCAAACAAATATTCTCTCAAATGTTGGAGGGGCAAAGCTGCCCAGGTCCTATTTAAATGTTTTGTTTTTGTTTTTTTTTTTTTCCCAGAGACTTTATCATGCAGGCCAGGTCTCCCTGCATTTTAAAGACAGAGGGTCTGTGCCTCCTCCTGAATATTCAACATCCTTGGATGCTGGTAATTCTCACTGACCACAACTTAAAGCATTGCTATTTGAAGTGCTTTGAGTGCCTTAGAAAAATATGAAAATGCTGCTCCTTTATTGTGTTTCGGCTAATGCATTATTTTTAACCCTCTGGAAATGGGATGCAGGCATGCTCAGGAGCTGGTACAGAGTGGCCTGCAGGACTGTCGGGCTGGCTGGGCTAAGCGTGTCTGGGTGCTACACCCCAGCTCAGAGGAGGGAGCCGGTGCTGGGCCTGCGTGGTGGGCGGAGGCCCATTGTGCCTGGGGGCAGTGGTGAGTGGGCAAGGCTGTGCACACACCACCCCCACTGATCAATCGATCGGAGCAAAGTGCAGGCCAGGGATGAGCTGAATGTGGAATTCAGGCTCCTTCCACAGTGGGCCTGGCTGGCTTTCCAGGGGGCTCTGCAAGCCAGCCCTCAGGGTCCCGGGGGTCGCAGCCCAGGATGGGGCAGCGTCCTGGGGGGGAGCCTTGTTTTGGTCACGGAGGGCACAGTGCTCAGAGCCGGCAATACTGGAGTCCCCAACCCCTGCACTTCTTTCAGGAAAAAAGAAAACCCAAAGTCCTATTTAAGCCAGAAAAATAAAACCTGAAATCCCCCATTTTGCAGAACACACCCTCCCCTCTCACTCCCACCCCCATCTCACTCATATATAAGCATCACTCTAGAAAAAAGCAAGGGAGGGAGGGCTCTTGGCGGAGGATGAAGTGCCGGCCCTGGAGTGTCCTCTGTGAAGTTGAAGGTCTCCCTGGACCCCAGCCCAGCCGGGGAGGTGGGAGAGGCCAGGGCCAAGGCTTGGCCCTCAAAACAATGGGATGTCCCCAGCAGTCCAGGCAGGCCTCTGTGCAGATGACTTTG